TTACATTAATGTTGCTTTCTTTTCTTTCCCTCTTCTCATTTCAAACCCAGCACACAATAATATTCCTGATGAGATACAGACCAGTTACCAATGTCCTCTCCTTAATGGTATGTTTTCTTCCCACAAGCAAGTCTGGAAACCTCCTTTAATAAACTGTACACACCTTCCAGCTGTAGCAACCTGCTGAGTGTAGCAGCTGTTTGCTCATATTTACACCTTATTGGCTGATGTCTTCTGACTCAACCCAATAGGAGGACTTCCCTATCAAATGGTTTCTTTTTATTATAGTAGCATAGGGGGGGCAGATCTGCACTTTCTGCTTTGCCCCCTCACCAGTATGAGCCACTCCATGTTTACTGAGAACAGCAATCAATGATGTCTCCTTCTTATTCAATACAATTCAATTCAGATACAAACAGTCTTTTGGATTCCCCGGTGCCGCCCATGTCCCCTGCCCTAATGAAGCGCTTTGCCAAGAAAAGCAGAGTCTCATGCTGCTCTTGGAGCAGCCAGGAGAAGGAGAAGCTGTCAGCGGGGAGGCAAGCTGCCCCAGGAGGACCAGAGAAGAGTGCAGCTTCTCACTCATGGAGCTCTACCTGTGGAAAAGTGGGCGCGGTAAGAGGTGCACTGGCGAAGGAAGCGGTCATGCTCCTTGGCCGGAGAGGGTTGCACAAACCTTTGCTGAGTGAACGTACAACCCTCTCCGGCCAGGGAGCATGACCGCTTCCTGGCTTGCACATTTCTTACCGCTTTCCATGACCACTTCCCCACTGGTGGATCTCCATGAGTGAGGAGCTGCACTTTTCTCCAGTCCTGCTGGGGCAGCTCGCCTCCCCGCTAGTAGCTTCTCCTTCTCCTGCCTGCTCCAGGAGCAGCCTGTTTGTTAGCTGGCAAGAACAGCCGGCCACCACAGCCTGCCCCGCCCTCTCTGCCCCGGCAGTTGCTCCTGGTGCTGCCGGAGAAGCGGCAGCACGAGAACCACTCTTGCTGGTGGCAAGGGGGTGGTGGCGGCTGGAGCAGCAGGCCAGGGCTTCCCTCCCTCTCTCCCTCCCTCCCTCCATCCCTCCGGAGGCCTGGGGCTATGCCAGAAGTCTGCTTGGGTGGGGAGACAAGGAAGCCCAAGACCGGCCGCTGCCCCCTCGCCCTTGGCGGCAGCAGTTCTCACACAGTCGCTTCCCTGGCAGTGGCAGGAGCAGCTTGCAGGGGAGAGGGGATGGCGGCAGGCTGCAGCAGCAGACAGTTCGAGCCGGCTAAGAGGCAACATTCCTCCTCCTGCCAGCCTCAAGCTAGCTCCGGGCGGCATCCAGCCACCCATACCTGGCTTCTCCCTGCGGCAGCCCATGTGGATCCCAGGCAGCGCAACTTCGGGGCCTTTCCTCATGGTGGCGGTGACAAGGCAGGCAGGCAGCCGGGTGCACAGAAGTGACTGGCTGCAGCACTCCTGGCTGACAAAGGGCGGAGTCCTAGGGCTGCATGTGGGCAATGATGGTGGGCGGGGTAAGCGAGCGGCGACCAGGCCGGGAACCGGTTCGGGGGCGTAGCCAGCCAATGTTATTACCAGTTCTCCAAACTACTAAAAATTTTTACTACCAATTCTTGCGAACCGGTGCAAACCAGCAGCAACCCACTGACACACACACAAAAAACCTTCTCACATCCTGTTGCTTGCCAATGTACAGCTTTTCCGAAAACTGGGTTTTGCTGTGTCTTTTTGTTAATCACGACTAAAAAATGTGTTTGCAACTTTTATTTAACAAATGCTATATGTCATATATTGAAATCAGACCCGCCTTTTTAATATGTGCCATATTTCATAAGTTGTCTTAATTATAAACTACCATCTGTAATATTAATATATGCACTTCGTTTTGACAGGATTTAGACAAGCAATTTATAGTTTGGGTTTCATTGCAATTATCTTTGATGTGGCTCCTTGCATTAAAAGAGAAACGTCTACATATTTAGAGAAGCTTCTCATAGGAAATAAATACTATAATATTCTATAGATATTAGAGAGATATTTGAGAGAACTTTCTCAAAAAATTGAAACATAGCATAGCCTTTGTGATGCTAAGGCAAAATATCTTTCTCACGGTGAGGAAGTATGGTACCACTTTTCTCTGGGTTCTGTGTTTCTCTGTATAAAACTCTTAGGCTTTAGGACTATATAAAGCAAGGCCAGACAGGCTTCAACCCCAACAACAGGAGGAAGACGAATGGAAGATATGAGTGTGTAAAGTTGATATCAGAGAAAGATTTTGATTAAAATGAATATAAATAAAAAGCTGGGGTGGGTGTGGCCTGCATGTGATGTATCCGGCCCATGGACTGCCAGTTTGACAGGCCTGGTATATTATAGATAGGTGTAAATGATGGAACCTTAGCATTGCCTTGATCCTAGATTGGTGCTGTGTAACAGTGAGAATTGGGTGGTTTTCCCACTGTCATTCCTGAGGACAAGGACACAGGGTTTCTGATAGTTAAAAGAATGTAGAATTCCATCTTATGCTCTGTGTCATTTCTGTTCAACTTGTTACTTAAGTATAAACTGTAATTTTCCATTTCCGAGTCTTATTTAATTCATTACTTTTGCTTTAATCTCATCTCTAAATGTTAAGTGCCCACAATTTAATGCAGCAAAATAGCCTGTGTAGGCTGTTCTCAGCAAACTAGGATCTCCAGAAGCATATGTGGGAAGAGATATTACGGAAAAGGTCTGCCATCTGACCCACATGTATTTCCTCAAGAGGCGTTACACTCAGGAGAAGTTCCCTCTTCACAAGCAGAACTTATTACACATAGAATACCAAACTGATGATGGCAATAACCTCCAGCTGTTCATAGCTGGTGGTATGAGATCCACAATGGCACCAGCTGCATATCTCATTAAAATAGACGACCCAGGAAAGAGCTTTCAGCCTAGACTGATGCAATGCTCTTCCTTAGCCAATGTTGGAAGGTACATTTGATTAAGTACCACATGGCTTTAATGACTATGGGCCTATAACCAATGGTGAAATCCAATTTTTTTTACAACCGGTTCTCTGGGTGTGGCTTGGTAGCTGTGGTGTGGCTTGGTGGGCATGGCTTGGTAGGTGTGGCAGGGGAAGGATACTGCAAAATCCCCATTCCCTCCCCACTCCTGGGGGATGGATATTGGAAAAATTCCATTCCCACCTCACTCTGGGGCCAGCCAGAGGTGGTATTTGCCGGTTCTCTGAACTACTTAAAATTTCCACTACCGGTTCTCCAGAACCTGTCAGAACCTGCTGGATTTCACCCCTGCCTAAAACTCAGAGTAAATAAACTCTTGTTTTTTAAAAATAATTTTTTATTTTATTCAGAACGTTATGGTAAAATACAAACTCCAAGCTCTACAAGCTCTGAATATTGGTCAATATATTACAACGGTATTAGCTAGAATACAACTTCCACGTAATCTCACTTACACATGGAACTGAAAATGAATCTATCAATTTTTATTTTCTTTCTTTATTTATTTTGGAAAACATATATAAGATAACAGATGAAGTATAAACAGATTGTGAATCCATGAGATGGTTACGAATAAAAGGGGACATTAGGAGCCACATGGAATGGTTTAAGAAAGTATTGTCACATCACCTTGTTTTTGATAAAATGTGTATAACTCAGTTTGATAATACCATGTGAATCAAGTTTCAAAACTATGTCAATTCAATTGGAGCACGGTGCTTAATTTTGTGTCAGCCCCACTGGGTAGACCAAACCAGGAAATCAACTCCATAGGAAGGCTGAAACTATGTTTATTGAGAATGGCCATAAAAACTGAAAGTCTGATTATGCTGGACGTCCTTAATTTTTTTATAGTTGGGTTAAATAGGGAGCTGTCTTATCAGGACATTCTGGTTTTTAAAAATGCTTTAGTCCCTTTTCACTAGATAACAGCTTCTATATATATATACATCAATGTCTTCTTTCTAGATTTGGAAGACACATGTATTGGATTACACTATGTCACAGCTGCAATGATTATTGATTCTAAGAGCTCAACTTACTATATTCATAAATGATTCAGGATTCATCAATGTTTAACTGTTCAGCTCTTCTGAACTCACAATTTTTTGTGTAGCTGTCAACATCTACATGTTGGAACAGGTATAAAACAATGGAATAATTAGCTCTGGAGAAAAACATAGATTATGGTGACTGACCTCATACAGGCATACTCAATCAAAAGGACTAATATTCCAGAAAACTTGTCATCACTTGTGTCAAGGGTGCCTGTGGTGGCCCGAGCACTCTGCCAGCAAAAATGGGCTCCAAGCTCCATTTTCAGCTGTGAAGGCATCCTGCAAACCTCTGCCAATGAAAATGGAGCTCGGGAGGGCCACCCGTGGCTCACCCAAGCTCCATTTTTGCTGGTAGAGGCACTGCGGACCGCTCCTTCACTGTTTCCAGGGTGGCCCCATGGGCCAGTTTTAAGCACCCCGTGGTCCGGACCTGGCACATGGGCCTTGAGTTTAACACCCCTGCTCTACATCCTCTTGACAAATATCTTCTGACTTAATCCAACAGCAAGACCTCCCTATCAAATGAATCCCTTTTATTATAGTAGTAACCAAATTTGAACATTAATCAGTTGAATAATGACAGTCAAGATAATCCGATTCAATATAAAATATCATCTCCCATTGTATCAGCTTTTAATTTTAGTCTAGTTTTCTGGGGAGCATTTCATATGGATGCTTTCTTTATCCTTTGACAGTCTCCCAGTTTCCCATGGAAAGTTAGGAGATGCCTAACTCCTGTAAAGAAAATCTGCAGCATTATGGAGAGGCAAAAAATGAGGAACACAAAGAGAAGTTCCACTGGATAAGTAAATATGCCTTTACATCATTTGGGAGAGAGACCTTGGCATATATGGTATGGAATTACTATTGGAATCATCCTATATTATGGGAATCTTTCTATTAACTACTGACTAAGCCGATGAATGAAGCACACATTATGCCAGTGTCCAGATCAGACTTATTTATTTAAGAAAACTTGCAAACCCGCCTACAAGTTAAAAGCTTAGAAAGTTACATTGTTTATAACTTTAGGATCTACATTAAGTTAGCAGTAGGATCTAGACTTAATTCTTCAGTAGGAAAGAAACACACCATGGTTCATAAATAAAACAGAAGGATAAGCAAATTTAAACACAAATCAAATGAACAATAAAGACAGTCAACGTAAACTCAGGAAACAAAAAACACTTGAGTGTCTGGCACTTCCACAGGTACAATGAGAACAGTGGAATTTTAATTCCAGGTGGCTTCATCGATATTTCTCCATCAGGCCAAGGATTACCTTGTATGCACGTTGGTGAGCATCAATGCCCCAAATAAAATCCCAGTGAGTCCAATCAGGGAACTCCTTATAATAGACAACATTAGTTGTTCGAAAGCGTAACTGTGCAATTTCCATTGGCCGGCAAATCCAATCTTGTCCTCCAGTCCACATAGCAACTGGCACAGTGATGGCCTCTATGCTGTAGAACGGTGGAGTTGTCTGAGGAAAAGAAAACAGCATGAGAAAATTAGAAATTCTCCTAGAAGAAAATTCAATACAAGGGCGGGAATCCCCATTTCTATTTAGTCCTCTTTGTTATATCGTCTCTGACTCAACCACTTTTAAAATTTTGTATTCTGCACTGTACTTACTGCAGGCTATATCCATATTGTACTTATATTTTAAAAATGCCCAAAGCCCTGCAGAGAATATAGGAATGCTTCTTAATTTCCCTACACCTATCTCCACCCTTGTGGGCACCCCACCTATAGTGATCTCAGAAAAAAATGTGTGAGTTCTATGTCCTAGACAAAAGATCGGAAAAGCAACAGGCCCAGACAGAGTGACTCCTTCTTCCTTGAAAGCCTGTGCTGAACAATTAGCCCCCATCTTCAAACAGCTGTTTAATAAATCACTGGAGATGGGTTTTGTCCCTTCTATCATCATCCCAGTTCCTAACAAACCCTGCGTCAGGGAGCTGAATGACTATAGGCCATCTGACATCTATAGTCATGAAGTCCTTTGAGAGGTTAGTGGTGGCCCATTTTGAAAGTCATCATGGATCTGCTGTTAGACACACACACACCCTTGCAGTTTGCTACTGAGCAAATTGATCAACAGATGAGGCTGTCAATATGATCTTGAGTCCCTGGGGACCTGTGTATGGGTCCTTTTTGAGGACTTCAGTTCAATGCTAAATGCCATCATTCCAGAAATTCTTCACTCTAAAGCAGAAGAAGCAGGTGTAATGTCCTCCCCATATCCTTCCACTTCTATCCCAACTACTTTCCTGAAAACACGTGTCTATTGCTTTCCAATAAACAGAAATTTTTTACTTATGGGGATTTTCCAAAACAATAGGAAGTTTTCAAATCAAAAATACTTTCAATTATTTATACCTTATTTTTAGTTACCCAGGATAAAAGTATTTCACAGAATAATCTGGTAGCTTGGCAGAAAGCAATCATTATAGTATGAGATTTAGGAATCAAATGTTCATTATTTGTCTTCTTTCCCATGAAAAAATGCAACAAACCCTACATTAAAGAAGTGTCAAAATCCAGCACCACCAACCTGGTTATAGATATCTATGTTCTTCAAGCCATAGTCAAAATATCTGAAAAGCCCACTTTTCATTAACTGGAATAAGAAAGAAAACACAACAGAGACATAAGGAACTATATTTTTCTATTATAAAAATAATAATGAAGTGTAAAGACAAAAATGATGCAGAAATCCTCCAATCATGTTTCGTTACCATTTAAGGGGAGTTAACTCCAATGAGAAGACATCGAGACAACTCACAGTTTTTATCATTTCCATGAAGTTGTTTATTGTCATACAGCCAGCAAAAAATAAAAAAACAAAATTAGTCAGAACTGGATGTTAAAATCTTGGACCTAACTACAGGTAGTCCTTGACTTACAACAGTTTGCTTAGTGACTGTTCGAAGTTACAATGGCACTGAAAAAAGTGACTTGTGACAGTTTTTCACACTTATGACCATTGCAGCTTCCTCATGGTCACATGATCTATATTCGGATGCTTGACAATTGACTCATATTTATGACGGTTGCTGTGTCCTATGGTCATGGGATCCCCTTTTGCAACCTTCTGACAAAGCAAAGTCAATGGGGAAGCCAGATTTCACTTAACAGCCATGTTACTAACTGAACAACTGAAGTGATTCACTTAACAAATATGGCAAGAAAAGTCGTAAAATGTGACAAAACTCACTTAACAAATTTCTCACTTAGCAACATAAATGTTGGGCTCAACTGTGGTCGTAAATTGAGGACTACCGGTAGAACACCATGTGCCTTACCAAAGCCACTGTCAGCCATTTTGTTTATGTTAACAATGGAGGACATTTTTTTCATAAATCTTATATCTTACAACTCAACTCATAGGTTCTACTTTCCCAACTACAAAATGGCCAATGAAAAGCTCAGGTTTTCACTCCAAAGCATTCTGGAATGGTTGCCTTAAAAGATCTTTTCTAAAGTTTAATTTTTTAAAAAAAACCATTTCCAAGTAGTTATCATGAACAAATCATATTTGTACAGACTTTGGCATGTAAGCCATATGCATCCATGGACATCTCCAGATAGATGGGTGAGTCAAAAGGTTAAACTCCTTCCCCTTTTCCCCTTTTTATACATACATTAAGGCTTTGATCATGCATTCACCCTCTCCCCATCTTTTTTTGATACTCGAGATAACTTAAAAATCAATGTGGCATCCAGTTATCTAAAGAAAACCCATTCACCTTTGGATTAGACAAAATGTGTTCATTGTTTAGCGTATGGGCATATCATACATGCACTAGCAATATATATTAACATTTCACTCAGATTAGTAAAACGCAATACAATATAAATGTCAAAAAGGTTTATGTTCAAGTATTTCTTTTCTTAATTAACAGCCTTTTAGAAGGACTGAGATGTGCAATATTTTTGAAAGACGTTTTTCCGTCATTAAGCAAATGCTGTCCTTCAATAAGAATTTGCTGAACTGGTTTTTACCAGCAGTTAAAGGTATTTACTTACCTTGGTTTTGTCTTATTCTTATTGGAGTTCTCAACAGAACTATTTTATAATTATTTTTACCTGACCATGGGGATTTTTTATTAAAAGATGAAGATTTGTTGAATTCAATCATCAAAATGAGCCTTACCTCTCAAGTGGATTATGAGTTTTACCGAAGTATAATCTGGGAAATGTGAAATATACACATTCAGAACGGCTCTAGAAACAGTAAAGAAAAGACTGTTTAGAAGAATTTTATACTGCAAAAGGCTTCTATGAACTGTACTGCGTAAAAGATGAGAAGCATCTAGGCCTTTTTGTCGTCACGTGCCAAAAGTGGGGAAGCTGGGGGGGTCATGCACGCATGTGCCCACACCCATAATTCAATGCCCCCCATGCCCGCCCGCCCATGCACGTGTGACCCCGACACACTCCCCCCACTTTTGGCACGTGATGGCAAAAATGGACCTGGTAGGCCCATTTTTCGCCCTCCCCAGGCTCCAGAAGCTTTTTTGGAGCCTGGGGAGGAAAAAATGGCCTCCCCACCCCCAGAGGCCCTCCAGAGGCCAGAAATGGCCCTCCAAGGCCTCCACGCGAGCCCTGTACTTACCTGGCATCCAAAATGGGCCGCATGGAGACTCCGGGAAGGGAGGGCAGTGTTGGAAGCATGCATGCACGCTGGAGCTGAGCTAGGGCAATGTTCACATGCCCACAGATATGCGGCCATAGGTTCGCCATCACGGATCTAGGCTAATCTTGAGCTAATCACTG